CCCCCCCCCCCCCCCCCAACTAGCACACCTTCGCTACGTCCCTGGCCGTGTAGGTTCATAAAATAAGATAGTGCTACTTACAACAGACATATTTTTTTTCTATTTACGTCATAAGAAAGTTTGTAAAATCTAGTGTTGTTGTTGAAGTTGGCAAAACTGATCTGTGATGTTTTAATGTTTTGATGGATAATGGTTTGGTTTGGTTGCAAAGCATAGAACAACCACAGGCATTGTCGGTTGTTGTAGAACCGTGAATTTTGGCTAATCAAGGTAATTGACATCTGCACACCCTGGTCATTTAGAAACACGCCCAGGATCTAAAATCTTAGCTAAGACCCTGGTCAGTGGTGAAAACATGACCATCAAAGGTGTGGCATTAGTCCCCTTTGAAATTGGCGAGTACAACTATACACCATAGAAAATTTAACTCATGAAGCAATTCTTGGGTCTGACTTCCTTGGTCATTATCAAGGTGTTATCGATTTTGACAACCAGTCTCTTGAATTATTGCCACCAAGTGAACAGTCACCACCTTACCCAGCATTAAATCGTTTGTGTTCAGTACATGCATATAAAACATGTGTTTTACCACCAAATACAGATCGAATCAGTCATTCCAGCAACATTAAAATGCAACATATATCTCCCAACAGATGATTTAGTGGGTATTATTGAGTCTAGCCCCACATTAGCAGAACGTTATCAGGTTTGCGGTGCTGCGACACTTGTTAGAGTAACAGAAGGGTTTACTGTTCCATTCCGCATTATTAACCCAACATCACAGCCTGTAACTATTTATCGCTGCACTAACCTTGGTTAGTTTTCGTCTTATGAAGCACCACAGATCGTGTCTGTTATCCATACCAATAATGTACCAGAGGATAAGTCCCAAAATGCTAGCTTACTATTGGAATCGATAAATCTTAGTAGCTCAGATCTTGATGATAAACAACAGGCACAATTAAATCAGTTGTTGCAAGATAATCATGACGTATTTGCACTTAAAGATGACGAACTAGGTCAAACCTCACTGGTAGAGCACCATATTGACACTGGTAATTCCCGACCAATTTATCGACAACCATATCGCGTGTCACTGCAGAGAACAAGTATCGATAATCATGTACAAGAAATGCTTGATCAAGGTATTATCCAGCCTTCAGCAACCCCGTGGGCAGCCCCTGTAGTTCTAGTACGAAAAAAAGATGGCACTGAACGTTTTTATGTTGACCACCGAAGTTAAATAAAGTCACTCAGCGAGATTTTCATCTGATTCCTCATGTACAAGACACTCTTGATTGTTTGTATCGTACTTCATATTTTTCTTGTCTTGACCTGCGATCAGGTTATTGGCAAGTCGAAGTCGATGACGAATCAAAACCAAAAACTGCTTTTGCGACACATAGCGAGCTATATGAATTTCGTAGAATGCCCTTCGGCTTAGCCAATGCCCCGTCAACATTTCAACGCTTAATGCACGCTGTTTTACGTGGCCTCCAGTACCAAATTTGCTTAGTGTATTTAGATGACATTATAATCTATTCGCGCTCATTCGACGATCACTTAGACCATCTAAATTATGTTTATAGTAGGCTCCGGTCTGCGAATGTTAAATTTAAGCCTAGCAAGTGCTCATTTGCGCGCTCCAGTGTGAAATATCTCGGACATGTTGTCTCTCGCGATGGTATCCGACCAGACCCTAGTAAAATTGCCGCAGTCGAAAACTTCCCAGTTCCTCGATGCGTTCGCGATGTTAGAAGTTTTCTAGGCTTAGCAAACTACTACCGTAGATTCGTAAAAATTTTGGAATCAATAGCATCGCCTCTTAACAAGCTTATACGCATACAAATGTACGTTTTTATTGGGACGAGTCTGTGCAAAAGCGTTTCACACCCTAAAATCCTGTCTTACATCAGCACCAATTTTAGCGTACCCCGATTTCTCCCTGCCATTCGAGTTGAATACCGACGCTTCGTCGACTGGTATTGGTTTTGCATTATGTCAAACTCAAGATGGCAAAAGTCGTGCTATCGCAATATGGCGGTCGTGATTTAACACTACGGAACGTAACTACAGTACAACCGAACGGGAAGCACTATAGCTATCGTTGAAGGAATTAAGAAATTCCGCAATTATCTCCATGATCGAAAGTTCGTGACTCATACGCCAAGATGCTGAACTCTCCGATCTCATCACCTTCTTAGAAACCGATGCACTTCCATCTGACAACAAAAGAGCTCGCTCGTTCGTACTTTATGGCGACAAATTTTACCTGGATGACAATGGTTTGCTATTCTCCCTTTGGACACCCAGTAAACGTACCCAACGTGATGTATGCTCACAACTTGTAATTCCAGACGCTTTAAAGCATGAAGTTTTGGTTTGTGCTCACGATGATGTTAACGCTGATCATCTTGGTACGCAGAAGACATATGGGAAAATCCCCACTCGTTATTATTGGCGTAATATGTTCTGGGATATTGACAGATGGCGCAACAGCTGCGTCGATTGTGCAATGAAGAAATCGCCTCGTAACAGACATAAAGCTCCTCTTTTGCCAATTCCAGTAGAAAACGCTTTCGATCGCCTTGCAGTTGACTGTTTGGGTCCATTCCCACTTTCCGATGCTGGAAATCGTTATGTCGTTATCTTTACAGAATACCTAACCTGAAGTTCAGGCCCTAATCACAGAATAGGGCCTGACACAAAACCTATCTAAACTGTGGGATTCCCGTCCATCTGGTGGACGGGAAATCTGATTGATTGATCAGCATCATGAAGGATTTTGATTGGTTCACATAGATCACATAAACAACAGTTTTAAAAATAGCTCGGTCAAGGACTCAAGGCGACAATATAAATGTCAAACGCACGTAACAAATGCCATTATTGATTTCTTCGAATTTCTTTTCTTTTAGCTTTATGGCAGAAAATAAATCGAACAAATAATATTTTGAAAGGGCTTCATCAAAATCTTTGATGAATTTTGGACACACGACGCTGAAAGAACAGCCAAACTAGATGTCATGTATTCGAAAGCTTGTTGTTGACAGCCAAGATGTTCTGCCAACTGGCTTCGCCGGCAAAAGTCTTAATTTTTAATATCAAGTCCTACCGGCGTTGTTTTCTGAGCTACATCGCCTTCTTCGTGGTACGATTGAGAATTTCATTGTTGCTGTTGTTAGCCCGTTAGCCGTTAGAGTATATCCGCGTCCAGCAAGTTGAGACCTTGAGAAAGCTTGGGAGTCAAGCCGTGCAGAGAACTGACTAATTAAATCTTTGTTTGCTGTTCGGTTAAATAGAGAAACTGACTCTTAATTATATAAAAGTACCTTGAATTTTTAAGTTTAATTAAAAAGCAAAATGCACACTCTGCGGACATGTTCATGAGAAAATAAATTTTTTCTGTAACGAAATCTACAACACTTGTCAGTCATATTGCATGTTGTGTCTAAAAATAACATGTGGGCGTCCCACGGTCTAGACAGGTTTTGTGTCAGGCCCTATTTCAAATTAGGCCTGAACTTCAGGTTACAGAATACCTCACTCGATGGCCAGAGGCGTTCGTCGTTCCAACTACAGATGCTCCAACCATTGCTCGCCTCCTAGTTAACCATATCGTCCTTACACATGGCGCTCCTCGAACTTTATTATCGGATCGCGGAACTAACTTCCTATCATCACTTGTTGGATCGGTCTGTGAACTTCTTAACACCAAGAAAGTGAATACAACAGCGTACCATCCACAAACAGACGGTCTTGTTGAAAAATTCAACCATACACTTTGCCAATCCGTGTCAATGTATGTCAGTCGTGATCAAAAAGACTGGGACACCGATCTACCAGCGATACCGTTTGGTTTTTGCGTTAGTCCCCATGAGACCACCGGCGATAGTCCATTCTATTTACTTTACGGACGTGAGCCAAGACTCCCCATCGATGTTTATCTTCTTCCTCCGTCCAACGTCACAAATTCTATCAAGGAACACAGAGCGCGCATAGTCCAAACAATAGAAGAAGCTCATTCTATCGCTCGCGCAAACATCAATCCATGATCCAGCGAACAAAGCAATCCATGAAAGCCCGTTATGATTGTTCAGCCTGTGAACCTAAATTTATGCTTGGTGATCGTGTATGGGTATATACACCAAAGACAAAGAAAGGTCTTTCACGTAAACTTATGCATCACTGGCATGGACCATTCCGTATCATAGAAAAATGCTCACCAGTCCACTTCAATCGCCTCGTCTCCATTACTGTCCATGCAAATAGAATGAAGCTTTACTACGATCCAGATTCGCGTCCTCAGATTCCTCCGAATATTGAAATGCCAGATGAACCACCCATTCCTGAAGACGAACTTCCGGATGACGCGCTTTCTGACAATACACCGGTCCATGAGCCCAGCATCGACCAATCTGCTCCGGCAGACACATCAGTTTTAGAGGAAAATTCGGAAACATATAATATAGAACATATCATTAAAGAGCGTAAGCGCAAAGGTAAGAAACAATTTTTAGTCAAATGGGAAGGGTATGGCCCTGAGCATAATTCATGGGTAGAAGAGACTGACATTATTCACCTTGAACAAAACAACGACTAACGTACGATACCATCTCTAGGCTTTTAACCTCTGGGACGACTTGTTTTGTGATCAGGATGTTCAGGATGTTCATGCTTGTGTTGTCCTGACTTTCGGCTCTGAACTATTTAGCCTCGCATGTACCCCTCGTTCGGACACGTTATTATTTATAATTGTGTGTGAAGCATAATTAGATGTCGCACTATGTGGGAAGTTGAAAGTGAATGATGAGAAAACGAATGTATAAAGGCTTTGTTATTGTTTTGTTATGTTTTGTTATTTTGTTGTTCTCCCTTCCCTGACACAACCATGTTATTTTTCCTTCTTTGGTTCAAGTCAAATTTCACATGCCTTTGCAATTAGGTGAGTATTCATCTGTACTAGTGATCAATATACGGATACCGTTACAGTTAAAGTTACAAAATGGTTCTCAACAGTGGAATACAACGATGGTTGCACATGCAAAGAAACGTACGTACGGTTACTGAAAGTCTGCCAACCTTCGCCAAAGATCACATTGAACTTAATTGTAATAACTTTCCATTCTATCTCCGATGAAAACCGGGAGGTTTTCCACTAAAGGAGGGAGATATGTTATATGAGATTGGACTTTGGTCCATCAGTAACAAATAAGATGGAAACGCCTTTAATTTATGGACATTATGCTTACCACTTGCTTCGGCATTTTGACCATGTCGGCGACTTAAATTAGTTCACTTTCTCTTCAAATTTTCGCCCTGAAATTGCAGATAAACTACATATGAGTTAAACGAATCTGAAAATTGTGGTATTTCTAAATATTACTGTTACGAAATTAAGTTATAACACTAAGGAAATAAAGTGACTGTGCTTCCACGTGTGAATTCACCTTGCTTCCACGTGTGAATTTGCAGACATGGATCGCGAAATTAAAACACAAATTGTCCAAACGTGCACGTCCCAACAGCTTCGACGAAAAGTCCTTCGTACTGAAATGACTCTCCAACAACTTTTAGATCAAGGCCGAGCCTACGAATTATCACACCAACAAGCTCAGGAAATGGAAAATAACAACACAGAATCAGTCGACCAGATGGAAACTGCTCCGACACGAAATTACTTTTCGAAGAACTTCAACTCACAACGTCAAGGACAAAGACAAGAATCAACGAAACTATGTTATTTTTGCAGCAAACCCTACCCTCATCCTGGCGTATGTCCAGCAAAAGGGAAAACGTGTCGACTTTGCGGGAAGTTGAATCACTTTGCCGTCGCATGCCGTTCATCTCCACAAAAACAACAACATCGCCACCATGAAAGTGACAAACGTCAGACGGTTAAATATGTAAACGAAGAAAACGCAAGTGACATTACCAGTGAACACTCCGAGTCGGATGAATATACGTTTATGGTGCAAGATACAGACGAAAATACCAAACATCCAATGGTTAACTTACGGATTCAAGGCCTAGCCAAAGTTAAATTTATTATTGACACTGGAGCGACAGTTAATTTACTCGAAGAAAAGGATTTTGAAGCCCTCAAACCGGAAATAAAATTGCAACACAGTTCTATCCACATCTACCCCTACAAGTCCGATAAGCCCCTCCGTGTCCTTGGAAAGTTTACTGCTACTGTAGAATCGCGGAAACGAATTGATGCTGCCGATTTTTTGTCGTTAGCAACAACCGTCGCCTTGGAGGTTCTTTGTTATCCTACAATACTGCAAAGCATCTTGGTTTGATTGCAATTCCTAACGCTGTGGACACTGCTAAGAACAGGAAACAGGTGGAGAAAAAGCTTGAAGAAATGGAAAGGATGACATCATCGAGAAAACAGAAGGTCCAACGCCCTGGGTTTCCCCAATCGTTGTTGTGGCGAAACCTAAAAGTCCAAACGATGTTAGAATTTGTGTGGATATGCGAGCTGTCAACAAGGCAATCCAGCGAGAACGTCACATAACCCCCGCCATAGATGACGTCATAGCAGATCTAAATGACGCTAAAGTATTTTCAAAGCTTGACCTCAATCAAGGTTATCAACAACTTGAACTCTCAGAAGAGTCACGCTACGTTACCACGTTTAGCACCCATGGCGGCCTGAGGAGATATAAGCGCCTTAATTTCGGAGTAACCTCTGCAGCTGAAATTTTCCAAAATACTATTCGAGAAACACTTGAAGGTCTCAACGGCTGTATTAACATCAGTGATGACATTTTAGTCTATGGATCCAACCAAAAAGAACATGACAACAACCTTAAATCTGTATTGGAACGTCTTCAGTCTCGTAACCTAACATTACATAAGCTGAAGTGTGAATTCAACAAAACCAGCGTTGAATATTTTGGATATGTATTCTCATCGCAGAGCATTTCACCTGACACTCGCAAAGTGGAAGCTATACGCAACTCCCAACCTCCATCCAATCCAAACGAAGTCCGAAGTTTTCTAGGTATGGTCAACTTTTGTGCCCGATTCATCCCAAACCTTGCGACACTAGCTAAACCATTACGAGACCTGACAAAACAGCATGTCAAGTGGAAATGGACCAGTACTGAACAACATGCTATGGACAGTATCAAATCCGTGTTAACCGGTGAAACAACAATGGCTTATTATAATCCCTCGCACAAAATTGAAGTTCTTGTAGATGCAAGTCCAGTTGGTCTTGGTGCTATACTTGGAATCACAGTGCTTCGCCACGTATTGTCAGTTATGCCAGTCGGGTATTAACTCCTGTAGAGACTCGCCATTCACAAATTGAGCGAGAAGCTCTGGCTATTGTCTGGTCATGTCATAAATTTCATCTATATTTATATGGTACCCAATTCTCTGTTATTACTGATCACAAGCCACTGGAACGTCTTTTCAACGACCCACCAAGCAAACCACCTGCTCGTATTGAACGATGGTTATTAAAGGTACAACCATATCGTTTCAATGTTCAGTATCAACCAGGTTCTGACAATCCAGCCGACTTTATGTCCCGCCACCCGTTGCCATCATCACCTACCAGCCATGAGGAGAGATGCGCTGAAGAATATGTTAATTTCGTTTCAATGCATGCTGTTCCCAAGGCCCTTACACTGGAAGAAATCAAAGAAGCCACAAAAGCCGATACCACACTTCAAGCTGTCATTCAAGCAGTTCAAACCAAACAGTGGCATAATGCGAAACTCCAACCTCGTGTTGATCGCAAGTCGGTAGAATGTTTTTTTCACATCCAAAACGAACTGTCAGTTAACAGTGATCAAAGTCTCCGCCTACGTGGTACCCGTATAGTCATACCAAGTAAACTTCAAAACCATGTGATAGACCTCGCACACGAAAGCCATCAAGGCATATCACGGACAAAACAACTCTTGCGTGAGAAGGTCTGGTTTCCGACCATTGATAAACAAGTGGAAGGAAAGGTTAGCTGCTGCTTAGTTTGCCAAGTCACAACAAACACAAGCAACATTGAACCATTACATATGCCTGAAGCTAGCAAGAATCCATGAGAAAGTGTATCAATTTCCGTTCCCCACTGGTGAGTACTTACTTGTATTGATTGATGACTACTCACGATATCCCGAAGTAGACATTATTAGAACAGTAGCCCATACAACTGTTATTCCCTGTCTTGACAAAATCTTTGCTACTCACGGAATTCCCAGAACGATTAAATCGGACAATGGCGCCCCATTTAATAATACAGAATTCAAACAGTTTGCTAATTATCTTGGTTTCCAACATCAGCGTATAACGCCCTATTGGCCTCGGCGAAGCCGAACGATTTATGAGAACGTCAAAGAAAACAGCTAGAACTGCCAAAGTTGAAGGCAGGTCTTGGAAACAAAACTTGTTTACGTTCCTCAGAAACTACCGAGCTACGCCCCATAGTGTAACCCATCAAGCTCCTGCAACCTTGCTATTCAATCGTGCCATAAATGTCAAGTTACCCCAGTCACAAACTGTAGCACCAGCTGACCCAAACCATCAACAAGCACTTGATGCATCATGTAAGTCAAGACAAAAGAACAAGGTCTACTTTGACAAACGAAACAAAGCCCAATCTTCTGAATTCAAAGTCGGTGATGCAGTCCTGCTGAGAAACTCAAAGAAAGGTAAATTGCAGACCCCTTATGAACATCAGAAATACCAAATTGTTAAGAAGAAAGGATCGATGATTAAAGCGTCAAATGACAATCGCCAAGTCACACTCGGACCTCATCACATTTTAAAAAGTTTAAAGAAAAGAAAGGTGAAACAGATAACCCAGGAGATAAACAAGAACAGCCGAGCAACCAGAACACCAATGAACGCCCGAAAAGGAAAACAAAACCACCAGCCTACTTTGGCTATAAACAGTCAGATAAGTAAAACATTTATAATGTACTTTAATTGTCTAAGAAGTCATCATAAATGAACTTTAAAATAAGACATTATAGGAACTTTCAGGTTGATATTAGTTAATCACAAACAGTTATAGTGAATGCAAAAAAACTAAAGGTTTAAAGGGATGTAATGACATAATAGTTACATCATGCTTTAGGAGCATGCGCACTTGTATAGAAGCTGGACATGTGTTTATGCATCGAAGGAGTACTATATTACAATGGCACAACGATTTTATTTCGAAAACGTTTCATAGAAGCGAAGTTTTGCACTAACTTTAATGTGTATACTATACTTTCTTAAACTTCGAGTCAAAATGACGCCTCCAGGCTCGAACAGAAATATTTAAATTTGCCGCGAATGCGTAAAGCACACCCTTGTTTGTTAAAGGCTTTGCTATCATTGGCTACTGCTAAAAGCATGCATTGGTCTGAACTCCCTTGGGGTTAAATACGGTCACTTGGAATGTTTAATTATTTGAATATCTAACTTGTTTGCGTGTTTGAAGCTGGAATTTAATTATTTCAAATGACTTTAAAGACCATTGAGGCCTTTTAAGTTAGGTCTGCGTTTATTGAATCATCATGGCTGCATATTTTATCTGCTTTAGTTTTGCCAGTAAATGTTTACATAACAATAGGCTGCTGACCAAGGGGAAGCATTGCTATGTTGTATTATAAGGACTTATCAATCCCACTGTTCTGCATGCCTTCCAACTAATAATTTCAGCACAATAAAACCGGTTTTCCACTAGCGAAATTTGTCGCGCAAATATTTTGTCTTATAAGCTCTCGGGTGGAACTAATTAGATTTTTAATTGAAATACTCTTCAATTTTAGCAATAAAAATTCACTTCGCGCGAAATAAATTCGTTGGTGGAAAACAGGCTTAAGAGTTAAGATTAACGTTTACTGAAAATTGGTAACCGCAAACGGCAAACTTGAAACTGTTAACTGTTCGAAATTAGGGCAACTTGTGTACTAAAATTGGAGCATCCGTTTTAGCTACTTTTGCCGTCCAAACTGTAGGCCTTATTTTCAAATGCGATTTAAAGTTTGCCGCGTTTGCGGTTAGCCTTACATGTCAATCTTAAAGTCTTCATAATGATAAAAAATATCACTGGAATAACAGCAAAACATGACAAATATAATTAAAAATAATTTAAAATTTGAATCTTTATTGTTACAACTAGGAAACGTGTTATATTAAATCTATGCCCGGCTCAAGCCTTGTGCAGGAGTTTCGATACATACAAAATACATCCCTTTTCTACGGATAGTTGCGGATTCAATAAGTTTCGATGATATCTTAAGAAGATTTTTCAAGTTAATATTGAGTTCCATCTTTAGGGCTCATTAAGTATACGTTTACACTATAGAGCAAAAAGTTTCGGATTCGCTATGAATCCGGGGTGTTTTTATATCGGATTCGTTTTGCCGCTTACACTAATGAACATATGAATCCAGTACGAAATGATCACTGTCACAGAGAGAGTATAAATCTGGAACTTTCGAATCCGGAAAAGTTTGCGGGAACTACGTATCCAAAAAAATATGAATCCGGAGAGAAAACTCTCGTGTAAATTAAATGCTTTCTGTAAAGAATCCGAATCAATCTGCTCTGGTGTATGTTTTGGCTATCTGTAAAACAAGGAATGGGAACCGGGGAATGGAATGAGGAACGAGAAAACCCGGAATGAGAAAAGCCGGAATCTGTAAAACCCCGAATGGAAAAAGCCGGAATCACAGGGGACTTAACTACTGTCAGTAAAAAGTGTAAAATAATCAAAACAATATACTTACTTTACAGTCGATTTCATGAAACTTTGACCACAAATTTTCCGAACTTCGTTGCGAAGTTCACAAGATTGTTGCGAAGTTCAAAAGTTCATAATGAGATTCACAAACTAGTTCGTAAACTACGCATTTGATTGGCTTCTTTTACTTCACGGACCAATCAGGGACTTTGTGTACAAATTGGCTTGTGAATTCCAATATGAGCTTCCGAACTTCGCAACGAACTTGCGAACTTCGCAACGAAGTTCGGAACATTTGTGGTCAAAGTTTCATGAAATCGACTGTAAATGATTTGCATAAATTCTTCGCAAGAATGTCAGTAGAAAAAGAGCAAAATATATATCTATATGAAGTATTGTAGAATCCTCAACAGGTAAGTAATGCGGGCACGTATGAGGAAATAGTATCTTTCAGCCGTCCCACATTGTTGTAACCAATAATCTATTGGCGCTGTAAAGCCATTGTATAGTAGATAATTAAATTAATATGTCCTGAATTCTCGCCTCCCTGAAACGTATCCAGGGCAAATGACGATAACAAAATAATAATAACTTTATAATAACTTTAATAATAATAAAATACAAGTTTCTCTCACTGATTTCTCACTGTTTCTCTCTCGCTGGTTAAGTCTCGCATGCTTGTTAATCACGTGACCCATCACTAAAATGTCAACGTTCGCCTTGGCTTCGTAAAGCTCCGTAATGAGCCCAGTTCGCTACACACTCCCCCATGTATACTCTGAGAGTTCACATGTCACAATACGAACTGGGTAACTCAGTAAATTAATCAATAATATAAGTGTTTATTACGAACTAATTAATTGTCTTTCGATAAGTGTTCACATAGCAAGTCTCTGCAATCTTTAAAGTTCCTTTAAAGTTCCTTTATCCTTTAAAGTTCCTGTTCATCTTCTGCAATGTCTCTTATGCGTAACGTAGCTGCTGCTGCAGCATTTCGTCTCCGCCTGCATGGGTGTGAACTCTTGTGCATCTGGATCTAGACGAGTTGTAATCTCTTTATCGCATTGTAACTCTAACGGGAACAAGTGTTGTATCGCGCGTTCCAGGTAGTTATTACCACCAGCAGTTTTAAGCTTAGCTGCCCGTATTACACCGTCACTACCCGTGATGAGTTGCTTGACTATGGCAAGTTTCCAGGTATTTCTTGGTTTTTGATCTTCCTTTACAATCACGATCTCTCCAACTTTGGGATGTTGCATTGATTTTGGTCTAGTCATTCGGTGTTGCTCACGAAGTTAAGACCACGCACATATTCTCTGTTCCACCAATTCCACATCGCTTGTTTGCATTTTAACAGATGTTTGGCTCGCTTTCTGAGATCTTTCTCTTCGATGTGGTGCTTTTCCAGTTCGGGAATGTAGGTTGGTTGGGTGTGGAGTATAGCATTGGGTGTGAGCACAGGTAACTGCACATCATCCTCTAAGTAACACAGGGGGCGATTATTCATCGCTATTTCGATATCTAACACGACTTCTTCGAGTTCCGACCATGTTAAGTTACCATTGCCGATTAACTTATAGAATTAACTCTTAAATAACCCAATTAAACGTTCAAATTGTCCTCCCCACCATGGGGCCCGACTTAAATTGAAACGCCATTCGATCGACATGTTTGCTAAGAGATTGTTTAGTTTCTCATCTTGTCCTACTAGTTGAATCCATTTTGCGGCAGCTTTAAATGTCATTGCATTATCGGAATAGATTAACTTTGGTCTTCCTCTCCTCGCAATGAACTTTTTGAGGCTCATGATGATGTATAGTATATAGATGGTATATAGATGGAATACTCTCCGACAATTCTGCCTCTACACTCCAGAATTCCGAGGTTGTTCTCCTGTAGGTTTAATCGCTCTCGGTCGGCTAAATATCGTGCATCGTGCTTGACTGCGTCTTGGGCCCGTCGTATCCACCGTTCGCGTTGTTGTTGAACCTCGCGACTGTTGATGGGACCTATCTCTCCTTCTGCAGGTTGTCGTTTACAATTCAGAATGAATCGTCGAACCCACGCTCCAATTCATAGCACTTTCGGTTAGGGATATTTATCTAGTAGTGGATCCACGATATCTTCTTCAATGTGTGCAGCTTTGAAGATTTCTTTAATCACTTTGGCTTCTGATTTGCTATCTGGTGTCGGTTCCAGAACTCGTTGAACTGGCCATTCTGCAGGATTGCTTAATCATGATGGACCCTCTTTCCACAACGTGTTCCCGGAGACCTTTCCTCCCCGACTTCCGATGTCGGCTGGGTTTACCGCTGTCGGAACGCGATGCCAAATAACGTTCTCGTGCTGACGAATCTTTTGTACTCT